ATTGTTGGCATTCATTCTAAGATCAGATATTATGTACCTTGCCCTGCACTGGTGACACTATTATTCTCGCATCTATCCTTATCTGAACTATGGTATTTGTGCTTGGGGTTCTACTACCCAAAATCATTTACATTCTCTAATTACTCAACACAAAGCTGCTATTAGGACAATATCTAACTCTGGCCCCAGACATCACTTGGAATCCTTCTTCTTGAGGTTATCTTAAGATGATTTCGAGGCTTAGTATCCCCGCGGCCCGGTCCTTGACCAGGCCTCCACCCCCAGGAAGCAGCCCGTGACAACTGACTAACTCCCAGGTATCTATTTACTGTACTGTTAGGTAACAGGAGCATCAGGGTGAAAGAAACTCTGCTCATTGTTTCTCGCCAGCGCCCGGGATCGAACCCGGGACCACAGGATCACGCCAGTGTTCTGTCCACTCAGCTACCGGCTCCCTGGGTGGGACATGGTGGGGAAATGCAATATGAATATAATTTTGTATTAGTTCGTCTTTAATATGCATCTTAGAAACCTAGATGAATACATAAGTTTCAATTTGGTTTATAGGAAATATCAAACATTATCACCATTCTTCAAGCAATTAGATATATTCACTATGCAATGAATTTGTTACAGTATACTGATAATTTTCCTTATTAATGTAAATCCACAAAGAATATATATCTAATTTAAATTAGCAATTAAGTAGCATTCTCTTTCATAGATTAAACATGAATAAAGAAAATAGAGTAGAGTAAATAGAGTTAAATATTTTTAATTTTTGTAATCTTGTGCACCCTTGCTCAAATCTCTGAATATGTTAGCTATAAAGTCACTGCACATCCTCTCCTGTGTATTTTATATATATAAAACGCTGAACTGTAATGTCAATCCTGACCTTGAAAGCTTCCTAGCAGGTTGTAACAGAACCTATGAGCAGCACACCAGAAACAAATACCTATTTGATATTCCAAGAGTACGACTTAATCAAACTAGAAATGCTCTACAAATCAAGAGACTCAGAATGTGGAATGACCTTCCCAATCATGTTAAAGACTGTACCTCTCCCAACCAGTTTAAGATAAAAACTAAGTACTAATTAACTCCATGTAACCTACCTAGCCCCTAAATGTCAACCCATGTCTATTATTTTAAACAATGCTGTTTGTTGACCAAAATTGTATACAGTGGTTCCTCGCATAACGATCGCCCCAAAAGACGAACATTTTGGGTAACGAACGGCGTCAAATCGTCCTGTATGGCGAACGCTGGTTTGAGTAACGTCAACACCACATGGTGAGGTCGCGCTGCTTCTTGCACATTTTCAGACGCCTCCAATGATGCACATAAATTATGTTGTTCTTGTTTAAAGATGCTAATGATGCTGGGATATAAAAGGGTGACTGCTGAGATGTTGCAAAGCATTGACGTTTTTGTAGAAAAAAGAAATGAAATATCTGATATACAACAAATGTCAAAAAGGTTCGTTCGGTGTTCGGCAGGTAGGCTGCTCCATTATAACAATCTTTCTTCATTTCAAATGTGTTCCATTTGTTTTGTATTTGTCATTTACGTCTCAATAATGGAGAAGCCTACCTTACATACACTGAATAAACCATTATGACATTTTCCTTTCTTCAAATGTGTTCAATATTTATTTTTCATTTGTCTTATAGCAAAAGGTTCGTTTGGTGGTCGGCAGGTAGGCTGCTCCATGTTTCTTGCATAAAAAAACGTAAATATTAAAAAAATGAAGAATTTTGAAAACCAGAACAAATGTCAAAAAGGTTCGTTCGGTGGTCTACAGGTCGGCTGCTCCATGTTTCTTCAATAAAAAAAAAACGAAAAATAAAAGAACTGTTGAAACAATTTGAAAAAATGGACAAATGCCATAAAGGTTCGTTCAGTGTTCGTCGGGTTGACTGCTCCATTATTGAGACGTAAGTGACAAATACAAAACAAATGGAATACATTTGAAACAAAGAAAGATTGTCATAATGGAGCAGCCTACCCAACAAACACTGAACGAACCTTTTGCTATAACTAACATGAAAGACAAGGGCTGCTGGCTGGGTTAGTACTGCGTGAGCAACCATTTGTGGCACACGCGCCTCTGGCTCTCAAACACCTGTCCGACACGGTGTTGAAAGACTGCGCTCAGTTCGTGAAATTCAGACCCTATTATTTGAAGAACATAAGGCTCATAACATTGGTGAAGCTAGGCGCAATAAGGGCTTAACACAATGGTCGGATGCAAGTGATACAGCACCTATGAGCATGATACAGCGAGCGTATCCAGTTGTAGCTCTGAGCCCCACCCTTGCCATCTCCAATTTATATAGATGATACATAGATGAATCGTTTCTGCGTTCAGTGATGATGCATCTGATACAAGTAGCATAGATGAACAGGGTTAGCGGCTTCCATGGTGGTGTTGTCCATAGATATTTTCAATACCTGAATCTCTTCCTGACTGAAGGACACACTTTGAGGCTAGCTGAATCTCTTCCTGTGTGGGACCTTAAAAAGCGATCTTTTCAAGATTACCTTACAAATTGAGCTTTTCCTATAATTGTTTCAATACTACCTTATGCTTTACAAGCTTGGATACATACCACCTACAAGTACTAAAGCCAAGGGTGCACGCGAGTGCGTTATTTGCAAGCACACAGAACGATGAAACAGGAAATGAAAATCTATCTGTAGCTGGTGCAATGAGAGAAAAGTCGTGATGTGTACCATGGACTACTTTGTTGACTATTATGCACCTCCAAAGTACTGAGTAATTACCTAAGTGTAATTACCTAAGTGTAGTTACAGGATGAGAGCTACGCTCGTGGTGTCCCGTCTTCCCAGCACTCTTTGTCATATAACGCTTTGAAACTACTGACGGTCTGAGTGTGTAATACAATGTGTTACTGTGTAAATAGTATGTGAAACTGCACATATTGTAATATTAGTGAATTTTTACCACGTAATATTATGAAAATAAACATTTATTGTGGACACATTACTGACACATGTATCAGTTCCATGGAAAATTATGAACATTCTACTGTATACATATTGTAAAGGTCACAAATATGCATCATATATGATAAAAGAAACAAATAAAACTGCATTGGAAATACATAAAAAAAAATATTTGAAAATATATTTGTGGCAACACGCGGTGCTTGAATGGCCCGCGCGACCGTCTGGGAGCTTCACACACAGGCGACCAGCCCCTGATAATGTCACAGCGCACATTGTCCACATCTTCACAGCCAAAGTGGAATTTGATAATTATATTTACATAGACATGTTCAGGGAAGGTAATTTATCATTTTACAAAGAAAAATGATGTCTTTGGGAACATTTGATGTCATGCACACTGGGGAATTTCACAATAAACACAGTGCATCACAGTGGTTACATGGAGGACACTCGTTTTGTATGACGTCCGTTTCACATGACGAACATGGAACGGATTAAATTTGTTATTCGAGGTACCACTGTATTTGCTATTTTTCTGCCATGTTCCCCTCTTTTTTATTTTTTTATTTTCTCAACACAATTTATACTTTAATCTCAATTAGTATTAAGTTTTAGTCTTAGGGTTTTTCCTGCCCGAAACACTTTGCGTAATAGTGGCTTTAGGCATTGTATGTACAAGCTCTTTCTATAAATCCATCAATGTTTGTATCTCACCTTGTATGTATGTATTTTACCTGAATAAACATTTGTTTTGATTTGATTGATTGATTTGATGTCTCTCTACATGTTGTGAATGTCATAACTAGCATTGTGTTCACTGATATCTGAAAGTTGTACATAGTCTTTATCACAGTCAGGATCATCTATGACACTATCAATGCAAAATAATTAGTCACTCATTTTTATTCATCAATTCTTAGACCAAAGAATTTGGCATTTACAGAGGGTCACTCAGCAATGGGCATATTTTTTATTTATTTATATACACAGTGATGCCTTATGAATGCCCTTCTTTACAAGCTTTTCGGGTTACGAGCCCAATTTCTTCGTAAAATCCGAATTGGGTCACGAGATTTTGCCTCGATTAACGTAGTTTATTAATACGTGTATGGCTGACCTAGCACGTGGTGGCACGGCGATCGTGCCTCAGTTTACCAGTGCCTTCCGCCTAGTGACATTCGTGCCTGAATTCTTTGTAAATAATTTCATTTTTTTTTTTTTTTTTGGGGGGGGAAAAGGGGGAGATTTTGGGATGTTTGAACATGAAAGTAATTGTTATATATCTCTCCACGGGTCCCAAGAAAGTCAATGGTAAGGTTCAACCTAAGAAAATAGTTGTGAGTAGAGGCAGTAGAGGATGTCCCTTCCTTATTAAGAAAATGTGTGAAGTATTTGAAGAAATCCAAAGTTTTGTTGAAAAAACTTTCCCAGATAAAGCTGTAACAGGCCGTTGCAGTGACCTTTTAAATGACAATGTGATGTATCACTACAGACAAGTGTTAAAATGTAGGGAAAAAGAAGTGTCTTTAGATAGATTCTTAGTAAGACAAGCAAGAAGTGAGCCACAACCAGGTCCTAGTGATATGCAGGCAAAACGCAGGAGAGAGAGTACTCCAGAGAAATCATCACTGCCTGATGTTATAACTAACATAACTAAACACTAACACCTCTCCTCCTTCCCGACTTCTCACCATCTTCCATATGCCAACAATAGTCATCAATAAAGATAAGGAATAACTTGTACATACTTTAGTACTAAAGATTTGGGTGAATTAGGTATAAAATTTACTTTGAAATTGATATTTTTGGGAGTGTGGAACGGATTAATTAAATTTACATTTATTTCTTATGGGAAAATTCGCTTTGGTTTACGAACCGTCTTTGGGAACGGATTCAATTTGTAAGCCGAGGTACCACTATATATACAAGGTACAATTAGTTTATGAGAGTACACAACAATGATGTTTTTACATTCTTATCAAGCAAGAATGTTGTTTAATGTCTTGTATTTTTTATCCCAACAGGCTGGGGCATTAATTGTAACAGGAACAGCTATTTTTTGTGGCACTTGCTATTACTACGCTTTGACAGGATCCAAGAATGTGAGACAGTACACTCCATATGGTGGAATGTTATTGATTGTGGGCTGGCTGTCAATGGTGCTCTGAAAGCCACAAGATGCTATTGTATCTACTGTAAAATGAATGATAGTCATTTAAGTAGCTTTTATTTTTCTGTAATAGATAAAATTTCAATGTTTCAACAAAAATGTATAAAATTACATATAGCTTAAAGGGGCTAGTTAATGATGACAATGTTTATAAATATATTTTATATAGAACAAATAAATTTTCTTCACTTGGTCCAAAACTGGTTATAATATGGTAATCAAAATATTGTTTCTATACCATTTTGTGCATGTTCAGTATTAACTTCTATCAGCACATTTTCGTGCTGTGTGTAATTTTCATTATCAATGATGAATTCTCTTGATTTTCAAAGTAACTTTTCTATTTTATAGAGTATTTAATTATTTTAAATTGATGAGTGGCAATGCAATATGAATATAATTTTGTATTAGTTCGTCTTTAATATGCATCTTAAAAACTAGATGAATATATCAGTATCAATTTGGTTTATAGGAAATATCAAACATTATCACCATTCTTCAAGCAATTAGATATATTCACTATGCAATGAATTTGTTACAGTATACTGATAATTTTCCTTATATATTCTTTGTGGATTTACATTAATATCTAATTTAAATTAGCAATTAAGTAGCATTATCTTTCAAAGATTAAACATGAATAAAGAAAAGAGTATGTTAAGTTAAATATTTTTAATTTTTGTAATCTTGTGCACCCTTATACAGTACATATTTAAAGTGTATATATATATATATATATATATAGTATGCTAATCTACAACAGTTATATCCTATATGATTGTCCTTCACTAATCAAACTTGTATATAATTATAACTCTGCACATTGAAATAATGAACTGTATTGTACCTTTAATTTGTTTAGGAAAACAAAATTGTGAGCTGTGATAAATAAACTCGAGCAAAAATGATAGTGGGTATTTTTGGCTGGATAGTGGCTATACCATGGGTGGAATGTACAATTGCAATTCAACAATGAATAACCATAAACCTATAGTGTCCTAGGCCTAACATATACAATCTTTGGCCTAATTCAGTACATCTACTATACTATACTTAAGAAAAGTTAGGTTTTGTTGCTACTTTCTTTCTCAAGTCAGTCCCTCTGTAATTTGAGTAAAAAAAAAATTGTTGCACCATAAAATGGTGAGTCATTGTTTTGTACATTCCATCAACATTCACTATAGGTACCATCATTTTTTAATGAGAGCTTGTTAAACATTTAAACAATGATTGGAAACTTGTTGAACAGGTTTGGAACTTTATTGTAGAGATGATAATATTTTGCTTACAAATATATGTTTCCTGTTTCTAAATGCAATAAATGTGAAAGACAAAAATTCTGAAATGAAAGAATAAAAACCCTAGTACAGTATGTTTAATGATCCCAGAAATTTTTGCTTGCTTTTAGAATCTGTTCACCAATTTCTGCTTTTTGCCCATATTTAAGGTAGGTTGGAGTGAGTTCCCTATACGTGATGCATACCCTTCTAGATGGAATATCTTCCCTTAATATGCCATGCTCCCACTCATACCTGACGGGTCCATAAAGAATGACGAGTGAACGATGTGGCATGGGCACCCGTATTACACTTTCTTCAATATTTCTTAATAATGGATCATCATTCTTACTACTATTAGTATCTTGCAAATTTGTCAGCGTGTTTGTAGTGCTAATTTTGTTTATATGTAGCTCACTTAGCTCTGTTTCAATTTCTCTCTCTTCTTTCACAGTGCCATTTTTTCTCACAATAAGAGGGTAATCTCTCATATCAATTAAGTTATACTTAGTTTTTGGTCCCCTATATTTCCTCAAGGTAAGTGTAGAGTCTATCAACAGGCTCAGTGTAGGAATTCTTTCGCCCCAAATCCAACAGTCATCAATATGGGGATCAATGGAAGCACCTCTTTCTGCTGGATAATCAAGTGAACATTGCTCAACAGTCTGGAAACCACAAAGGATGTCAACTGTGTTAAAGCGATCCTGAATGAACTTGGTGTATGCTGGATAACCAACGAAAGTTTCAGTCCTCACACGCCGCTTCTTAAAATTGCACTTTGGTCCATAATTCTGAAAAAAAAAAAAAAATTGAGAAAATCATATCCTGGGCATCAGCCCAGAGGAACCCTCTGCCATTTAACCTTATTCCTTATATACTATATCCCTGCTTGCTTTCTCACCCACCTTCCCTGGATTTATCTCAGTGAGATAGCTACGGGAAGTCACCAGGGGGCTCCCCAAGAAAAGGCTTTTTAAAAAATCTATTTTCCTGGACCTTTCACTTAGCCCTCACACCACTGGTTTATTGATTTTTGTACTTCATATGGCCTACCAAGGACCAGTGCCAATACCTGGTGCAAGGAGCAAATGACATTCCACCATTTCAACACGAAAGTATGCAGAAATTCAGTTAAGGTATATGTACTGACAACTGTTGGGTTCACAAGATTCAAATCCGATAAAATGCAAAATAACTCGACAAATAATACAAATTAAAACTTTGCCTGGCCCAGCGCGCGAACCCCAGTAAACCTCAAGGTCAGCCTGCCGTTTCCCACAAGTGCACACCCACACTAAAATGTGTGTACTTTTTTTTCAGTTTTATCGGCTCAATTTTCGTGTTATGTTCTTGATTTTGGTATCAAATTGTTTGCAATAGAATTCTCTGAGGGAATATATGCATATAAGGTCAAAAGGCCCAGAGCACTACCCACAGCAAACCAGAAAATCCACCAAACATTACCTGTGAGCAAGCGCCCACCCCCACACACACACACACCTCCCTGTGTACAGGAATCGTAGCAGACGTGTGGAAACAGGCTAACATAGTTCCAATCTACAAAAGTGGTAGCAGGGAAGACCCCCTCAATTATAGACCTGTATCATTGACAAGTGTAATAGTGAAAGTATTGGAAAAGCTAATCAAAACTAAATGGGTAGAACACCTGGAGAGAAATGATATAATATCAGACAGACAGTACGGTTTTCGATCTGGAAGATCCTGTGTATCGAATTTACTCAGTTTCTATGATCGAGCCACAGAGATATTACAGGAAAGAGATGGTTGGGTTGACTGCATCTATCTGGACCTAAAAAAGGCTTTCGACAGAGTTCCACATAAGAGGTTGTTCTGGAAACTGGAAAATATTGGAGGGGTGACAGGTAAGCTTCTATCATGGATGAAAATTTTTCTGACTGATAGAAAAATGAGGGCAGTAATCAGAGGCAATGTATCGGAATGGAGAAATGTCACAAGTGGAGTACCACAGGGTTCAGTTCTTGCACCAGTGATGTTTATTGTGTACATAAATGATCTACCAGTTGGTATACAGAATTATATGAACATGTTTGCTGATGATGCTAAGATAATAGCATCAATAGCATAGATAAGAAATTTAGATGATTGTCATGCCCTTCAAGAAGACCTGGACAAAATAAGTATATGGAGCACCACCTGGCAAATGGAATTTAATGTTAATAAATGTCATGTTATGGAATGTGGAATAGGAGAACATAGACCCCATACAACCTATATATTATGTGAGAAATCTTTAAAGAATTCTGATAAAGAAAGAGATCTAGGGGTGGTTCTAGATAGAAAACTATCACCTGAGGACCACATAAAGAATATTGTGCAAGGAACCTATGCGATGCTTTCTAACTTCAGAATTGCATTTAAATACATGGATGGCGATATACTAAAGAAATTGTTCATGACTTTTGTTAGGCCAAAGCTAGAATATGCAGTTGTTGTTGTGGTGCCCATATCTTAAGAAGCACATCAAAAAACTGGAAACGGTACAAAGACATGCTACGAAGTGGCTCCCAGAACTGAAGGGCAAGAGCTACGAGGAGAGGTTAGAAGCATTAAACATGCCAAAACTAGAAGACAGAAGAAAAAGAGGTGATATGATCACTACATACAAAATAGTAACAGGAATTGATAAAATCGACAGGGAAGGATTCCTGAGACCTGGCACTTCAAGAACAAGAGGTCATAGATTTAAACTAGCTAAACACAGATGCCGAAGAAATATAAGAAAATTCACCTTCGCAAATAGAGTGGTAGACGGTTGGAACAAGTTAAGTGAGAAGGTGGTGGAGGCCAAGACCGTCAGTAGTTTCAAAGCGTTATATGACAAAGAGTGCTGGGAAGATGGGACACCACGAGCGTAGCTCTCATCCTGTAACTACACTTAGGTAATTACACACACACACACACACACAAAAGGTGACACCCCTAGGGTCAACACTTGCAGCAGAGGAGCTCCAGCATATTTCAACAATCCTAAGTATTGTAGTACAGGTTGATGATAGTGAGTGGTGTCCCAGAGAACATAAAGGTATAGTGCTTTTGAAAAATAGGTGAGATAACAGGAATGTGCCAAGGGAAGTGAAAAATCAGATGAGAAAAAGTTGCCCTAGTGTTTCCAGTGCAGAGAAGAACATTCAAGATGGCTGCCGGCAAGAGGAAAAACAAAACAGAGCTTGATTTTGCGGGATTCAGTGAAGAAAGCATTGATATAACCAGTCTATACAACAAGTTGGTAAAATTAGATACTATAGTGACCTCTCATGTAGAAATAATTAGTAAATTGAAAGAAAGTAATGACCATTTAAATAGCAAAGTTGTATGTCTTGAGGGTTTAGTGAAAGACTTGTGCAAGGATAAGAATCAATGGGAAACAAATTGCAAAGCCACAGAAGAAGAAAATAAACTCTTAAAAATAGCTTTGGAAGAAGTTAAAGTAAATTTAAACATAAATGACTACAATAGGTTAGATAAGGAAATTCAACAGGAGAAACAGCTTTTGTCAGCACAGATGGAGGAAGTTACACAGGGAATAGAACAGTGCAAGAAAGATATGCAACTTTCAAAAGAAGACAGAGAGAAGCTGAAACAACCTCGCCTAGGCAAAACGTTTAAATGAGAGAGGGAGCCGAGCGGACAGCACACTGGACTTGTGTTCCTGTGGTCCTGGGTTCGATCCCAGTCGCCGGCGACAAACAATGGGCAGAGTTTCTTTCACCCTATGCCCCTGTTACCTAGCAGTAAAATAGGTACCTGGGTGTTAGTCAGCTGTCACGGGCTGCTTCCTGGGGGTGGAGGCCTGGTCGAGGACCGGGCCGCGGGGACACTAAAAAGCCCCGAAATCATCTCAAGATAACCTCAAGATAACCACCTATGCACAAGTGGCCAAGGAGAGGGAAAAAATTGAAGAAGCAGTAAAGGAAGTCAAACACTGCAGCAACCAACATAAAACAAACATTAGGCTGGAAGTGAGAAAAGAATTGGCATCTTACCCAAAGTTGATGCAAAACACAGTTGATCGGAGTAAGTCCCTTATAATTTTTGGCTGCGAAGAAAAGGAGATAACATCTAGGACAGAAAGAGTTGTAGAAGAAGCAAAAGTAGTAGATAAAATTGTTGGCCTTGTGGAAGGTCTTACAACCAGAGAATGTGTGCGACTACAGGAGAATAGGCAGATATGTAAAAGGGAAAGATTGACCTTAGAGGATCACCCTAAATGGTGCCAAACAGATGGAAGAAGTACTAAGGAATGCTAGAAAATTACAAAGTGATGAGGATGGGAAAGTGGGATCGTTAAGACGAGATCTTTCAAAAGAAGACAGAGGGAAGCTGAAACTGAACCTCGCCTAGGCAAAACGTTTAAATGAGAGCAGGAATGAAGAAGAAATCAATTCTTTTTTCTACAAAGTGATAGGGGTAGGCAGACCAGTAAAGTGGTACATAAAGGCAAACCAACATAATCAATAGAGAGAGGGGGAGTGAAGAATAAGGAGAGGGGGAATAAGTTCCTGAAGATTGCATACACCAACATAGATGGAGTGAGATTGAAGATACTGGAGTGAGATTGAAGATACTGGAGTTAAGTGATGTAATACAGCTGCAGACACCAGACATTGTTGCACTCACGGAGACAAAACTTGAAGATGTAATTTTAAATGAGGTCATATTCCCAAGGGGCTACTCAATTTGGAGACGGGACTGAAAAATTAGGAAAGGCGGTGGCGTTGCTGTGCTGGTAAAAGAACACCTAAAGGTGAACGAAACAATGACTGCCAATCCACAAGAAGTTGACATAATAGCACTAGAGATCTGCTATGAGGATGATAAACTAATGATGATAAATGCATATAGTCCACCGCCAAGCAGCACATGGTCAAAGGAGGAGCTAGATAGTAAACGTGAAGGTCTTATAACAATAATGAGAGAGATTATAGCGAGAGCGGATAACGATAGATCACGACTGTTGATAGTCGGTGACTTCAACTTGAAATCCATAGACTGGGAAGCATATGAAGCTAAAACAGAAGATTTTTGGACCTGTAGATTTGTAGACCTCATCCTGGAAACATTCTTGCATCAACATGTTAAACAAGCTACGAGAATGAGGGAAGGGAACGTTCTTTCCATGCTAGATTAGATATTTACCAGGAAGGAGGAAGAAATATTTGACATTCAGTACCTTCCTCCCTTGGGTAAAAGTGACCATGTCTCTTTGGAAATAAAGTATGCAATGTGTTATATTCTGGAAGAAAATAAGGAGGTTGAAGCAGTTGAAAAACCTGACTTCAGGAGAGGACATTATGGCGACCTTAGAAATGTTTTTAGTGAGTATAACTGGACAGACTTAATGCTAGGCAAGGAAGTGAATGAGATGCATGTCAAGTTTTGTGAAATATAAGATAAAGGCACAAAAAAATTTATACCAAAACAGAGATGCAGAACTAAGAAACAGGATTGATTCAATAGAAATTGCGATAGGGCCAAAGACCAGAAGACCCAAATATGGAATCAATACAGGAAGAGGCCAAACCCCCAAACATAACAGCGATACAAAGATGCGAGAAACAACTACATGGCAGTGAGGAGAGAGGCAGAAAGAAATTTTGAAAAAGGAATTGCAGACAAATGTAAAACAGAACCAGGTCTATTCTATATATTCATAAACAACAAATTGCAAGTAAAGGATAATATTCAGAGGTTGAAAATGGGAAATAGATTCACGGAAAATGAAAAGGAAATGTGTGAAACACTAAACTAA